AGTCTGTCTTGAGCAAAGAAATATGTGTCATCATATAATATGTTCTTATTCTAATCTGCATCATTTTTAATACCCATGTGATATTCCACTGAATGAATGCAAAAGACCATCAATTATTTAGTCAATCCTGTATTACTGGACATTTGGGTAGTTTCTGATTTTTTACTGTTACAAATAAGGCTGGCTATCCTTACCTTATACTCATACCTTTGTGTTCATAATTGTTTTATTAGGATATAAATATATTCCTCAAAGTGAAATTGCTCAATCACAGGATGAACCAAATTTGGTGAGTTTTACCTGGCTGCTTTTGGAAAATTTTCACTCAAAATATAATAGCTTTTATAAAGGCTATTCGGGCAATTTTACATATAAAGGGTACAGAATAGGATCATGATTTCTAAGATTTTGTAAAAGTTTGAGCCTACAACACTGGGGAAAATTGTGAAAGGGGTAAACCTTCAAAGCAAGCAGATGAAAAGCCTAAAAAAACTGGAAAGACATTTGGTTGAAATGTCCATTCCCCTTTATACTTCTGTTACTTTACTACTTTTCAGGTTGAAGATTAATGGAAAGAGCTTTTATATTCAAGTAATTGCAGAACTGTAAAAAGTGAATGTGCAGATCAATTGGAACGGGTGGGAAAACTTTGAAAATTTTGCAAAAGCATTAGAGTTTTTTGGTTTTTCACTTCATTGTATCACCATTCTTTATAATAACCTACATAATTTCCAAAATTTACTAATCAGTAATTGTATCAGAATTTTATTCTTTAAATATATGCTTTAAATAAGGTTAAATACATTTTCATGTATTGTTTTAAGACCAAGATGTAGGTCAACATTCTTTTGAGGCATACATATCTTATTTAATGGTGACCAACATGTCAATATGAAATTGAATTAATAATATATAATTTATCTGATAGACAATCTGATAAGAATCTTTTTCATACATTGATGACTACTAGATTTAATACTACATAGATCAAACCTGAAAAGCAATGTAAATTTCATGTTTCTTTTAAGAACCTAAATTTTAGAGGTCAACATTGTACACTTTCATGTCATGAGTTTATATACATTGAACATCTACAGATAATTATAATATGACATTAGAAATAATACTGATTTTATTTCTAAAAATTAGAAATATATAATAGCTGTATTAATATAACACTTGACATTGAAAAAAATTAAATGTTAAGTTCTTTAGGATTTTTACAGAATTGTGGTTTAAGAAAAAAAAAAGAATTGTAATTAAGAATCAACTGACCTGGGGGGGAAAAGATGCAGTTTTTTACTTTGTTTATTATTCTATACTATATCTTCATTTTTAGGCCAAATCTAATTTTTTCTCACTTTAGGACCAGTCTTAGGAGGCAATTAATAATGGTGCTTAAAACCTCACTAAATCCAAGAAATGTGTCACCATAAAAAAAAAAAACAAAAAAAAACCTCACTAAAAAAACTACCAAAGGCTGAGCAAGGTGGCTCACACCTGTAATCTTAGCACTTTGGGAGGCCAAGGCAGGAGGATCCCTTGAGGCCCCAGGATTTTGAGACCAGCCTGGGCAACATAGCGAGGCCTCATCTCTACAAAAATTAGAAAAATTAGCCGGGAATGGTGGCGGCGTGTACCTGTAGTTCCAGCTACTGGAGAGGCTTAGGCAGGAGTATTGCTTGAGCCCAGGAGTTTGAGGTTGCAGCGAACTATGACATCACTACACTCTAGCTTGGGCAACAGAGTGAGACCCTATTTCAAAAAAAATCAAAATATTTCCATTTTGTTTATTTTGAATATCTTTTTTTAAATGGGAAAATTAAGAAACCGCTGGTGCAAATAGAAATTAACCTCAAAATATATGTTTACTAGCTTTTTTTAAAAATTATTTTTTATTTTTTCCAGCATATTATGGGGGTACAAATGTTAAAGTTACGTATATTTCCCTTGCCCTCCCTCCCCTCTGGAGTCAGAGCGTCAAGCGTGTCCATCCCCCAGATGGTGAACATCACACTCATTATGTATGTATATACCCATTCCCCCCCACCTGCCCAACACCCAATAGAAGTTATTCCTATATGTCCACTTGTGTGTTGATCAGTTAATACCAATTTACTGGTGAGTATATGTGGTGCTTTTACTAGCTTTCATGACTCCACAATCAAATAAAGTATTTGTGAAAAGGATTAAGAAAAAAAAAGAAAATAGATAAATTCCAAGCCTGCTCATGTTAGAGTCGAATATGTTACTTTACTTCTTTTTATTTAAACCTGTAGACCAAGGGCGTGTGATAAATATGTAGACTTGAGTGTGATATTATTTGAGAGTTTGGCCATGTTCTCTAGTCATGCTTTGGCGAGTCAATGGACAACACTTTGGCCAAGGATGGCAGCCAGAATTTTCACCAGGGAAACTGTCCCTCAGCATCAGCAGGGGTTCTTGCTGCTGGAGGGTCTGTTCTAGGGGATGATTTTTACAACTTAACATTTCCTTGATTGGCGTGACTTTCTGAACACCCATCCAAAGCACCTCCCTCAAAATGGAGGGGTCCCATCTGAGCCGCATTCCAATGAAAGGAAATCTGAAACCATTTTCCCCAGAGATAGGCAACCCACTGCTAGAAGAGCTATGATGTGATTTCACAGTAACAGAGTTACAAGGAGCGTAGCTTTTACTAACTTCCAGAAGTCCAAAGGAATTCCTAAAACTTATGTTTCCACCCAAGGGTTCTGGAACATGGGTCTCCATAGTTTCTTGTCTTTAATTCCAGGAAAGAAGGAAGTTAGGTGAATAATGGAATCAGATGACAGTAATCTCCTTATCATCTACTCTACATTCTTTTCCAGGACCCAATTTTAGCTAAAAACAGAATAAAAACCATCTGGCACCACTTCAGAGAGTTAAGGGGAAAAAGCCTGAGGAAGATTTTTAAAAGAATAAGCCAGCAAGATATAGTCATGATAAAGATGACCAAAATTACAGTTGCAATCTAAGTTTACTTAGAAAAAAATTTGCTCCCCAGTATGAAGAAGTCTTTCAATTTTTTAAAAAAGGATTTTAAAAGAAATGTTATTCATCAAAATGTGGCTGCTATAACATCATAATATTGAACCATTAAATGTATGGTACCCATTTACTGTATGTACATGTCTTCTCACTAGCTTAAAACTTATGCTTAGCATGACTTTGAAAGTACAAAAATGGTAAAACAAACAAACCAACCAACCAACAGATCCAGGGCAAACACTCAGCTGTCTTTTCCTTGAGAGAAAGTCTGAGGCATGAAAGAACCCTCAGGTACCAAGTTTGTTTCCTGATCTGTAAATTCTCTGATTAACCAATGAACTTGTCTCTTCTTTCAGGTAGGTTCTGCTGATCCACCAAGATTCCTCCCCTCAGCCACTTTCCTTGGCTCAGCCTGACCCAATCCTCCCTCTCTGTGGCCACAGCCAGTGCCAGGGGGTGCCTGGCCCACCAAGGAGAGTGCGGTGGGAAGCTGGCCAGGGCCTGTGCACATCCCACAGGCCTCTCCAATGGAGAGGCTTTGGCAGGTTTTCTTTTTTCTTTCCTGAATTCTTTCTCTTCTAGTCACCAGAGAGGGCCAGTTTCCCTGGTGACAAGAATCCATAGGCAGTGGTGTTATATTCCCAGTTCCCTACCTCTAGGCACGCTGCCTTCAAGCCAAAGTCCTTGCACAGAAGATTTCTATTTTCCACTTTCTATTAAACAGCAGGGAGGGAGTCAAATGCAATTCAAATTGCATTTGTTTACCACTTTGTTCGAAAGATGTGGTAACATTTATTTTTCTAGTAAGTTTGTCAGTTCCAGAAGGGCTGGGACTACTCCTATCTTTTGACTGTTGTATCACCTAGGTTGGCGCTCATAAATAAGTGCTTCATGAATGAATTTGTTTTCTACTATGTGACAAACTATAAAGTCTAACATGTTGATTCTAATAACGAACAGGATACAAGTCATTTCTAGAAACGTAGGTTGGCATACCTTACTACCCAGGTATAATGCTAGCAAGAAATGGGGACATGTCATTATAATTACAGAGAAATAAGTGATGAATTCTGAGATTGTGGGAAGAATGGGCACTAATATGTCCAGTGAATATAATTTTCACAGTATCTCCAGATGTAGGTATCAGTATCAGAAAGGATTGTCACTTTTGCTGGGTGTGATGATACACATCTGTGGTCCCAGCTACTGGGGAGGCTGAAGCAGGAGAATCGCTTGAGCCCAGGAGTTCAAGGCTATAGTGCACTATGATCATGCCTGTGAATAGCCACTCCAGCCTGGGCAATATAGCGAGATCCCACCTCTAAAAAAGGAAAAAGAATTGACTATCACTTTTGACAAGCTTTTTGTTTTCAGCTAATATTCTTCTTAAATATAAAATATTTAGGTTTAAAGAACATTTGCTTTCAGAGTGAAGGCCTTCAGTTCCATTAACACATAAAGGTAATTTCACTAATGTCATGAAATCTTCCTTTATAAAGGTCTGAATTCTTACTAAATATAGCAGACTACAGATTGGATCTGTCAGTAAGTTAAATTTGTTGAATTGAACTGAACTGAGTCTTAAACTTATTTTAACTAAGTTTTAGATGACAATCTTCTAAATTATTATGCTTAAGGTTATATACTACTATAACTAACTTTCTATTTACCCTATAATTTTACATTCCTTAATTGACTTGAGATTGTATTAAACAGTGACAAGTGGCAAGCATCATCAAAAGCCTGTAATCCTAGCACTCTGGGAGGCCAAGGTGGGAGGATCGCTCAACGTCAGGAGTTCGAAACCATCCTGAGCAAGAGGGAGACCCATCTCTACTGAAAATAGAAATAAATTAATTGGCCAACTAATATATATATGTATGTATATGTATTAGCCGGGCATAGTGGCTCATGCCTGTAGTCCCAGCCTCTCCGGAGGCTAAGGCAGGAGGATCGCTTGATTGAGCCTAGGGCTTTGAGGTTGCTGTGACCTAGGCTGATGCCATGGCGCTCTGGCCCAGGCAACAGAGTGAGACTCTGTCTAAAAAAAAGAAACCATAAAGACCACGAATATTTTCAGATCCTACACTATGGCTTGGAAAATATGTAAACCCAGGGAGGATGAATTTCCTTACCCTCACATAAATTCGTAGGTGGACGACAACATCCTCTCCCAAGATAAAGTTGAGAAATCCAACTACTTGATTGATGAGTAGGAAGCCTGCTCGCACTGGACTCATTCATTCACTTACAAATGAGCCAGGCCGGGTGCTGAGCCTTGGAGACCCAGAGGTAAACAAAACAGACCAATTGCCTCCCTGGCAAAGTTTCAATGAGTTTGCATTTTAATGGAGAAGAAAAACAATGGACGAGTAAACAAATACCTAAGAAAGATAATTCCAGATGCTGCTGAGGGCCTGAAGATAAGAGGGGTAATGGGTAGGGGTGGGTTTCTGAGGAGATGACGGGAGGAAGTTAGTTCATTTCCAGACTCGATGAGTACTTCTGCTTGCTTCCTCGCTTCTGGTTGGCTTTGGACGAGGAAAGGCGGCTGGCATGTTCCATGACCCACTGAGGCAGCCTCGGCCAACCGTTTGCTGCTCAAGACTCTGGAGGCCAATATTTCACAACCGCCCCAGGCCTCTCCCCGGGCCCGGAGAAGCCTGACTCTTCTCGCAGTTTTCCCAGCGATCTCGCTGTCCCCGCTCTGCCCCTGCGCTTTACGCACAGCCTCCGAGGGACGGCGCGCGGCCAGCTCTCAGGATGTGGAGAGCTGCAAATAGCGCCGACAGCTGCAGCCGGAGGTGGTGGCCGCCCGGGAAGCGAGCCAGCTGCTGCCACCGCAGGAGCCGAGCCCAGCCGCGGCCGTCCTCGCGCCCTGCGAGCAGCCGGCGGAGCCCTCGACGGGCCAGGCCGGCGCGCTCGTGGGAGCGATGGCGCTTGCTTCCCCATCCGCGCGCACGCGGGCACGGAGGGCGGCGGGCCTGCCTCGGAGGTAGGTCCGCGCCAGTGGTGTCGTCCTCGGTATAAACAGGGGCACTGAGGTGATGAAGGGGGACGGTCTGTCCCCCTGTGTCGTGGGTGCTTGGCCTTTTCCTCATGGGGTGCCCGGCCCTTTCACACTATCTCCTTAGCGCGCTGTGTTTTCCGCCACTCACTTTCTCCCCTGGCCACACTCCTAAATGTGACGACGTAAGCAGTGCTCATAAAGCATCACTGGAAATGTCTTTAAAGAAGGAAGCCTAAAAAAAACATTTAAAACGCATCCTTCGGTCAGCCGCACACAGTGGGAGCAGGGATGGGACCCAGGCCGGTGCGCGGCCTGCCACGCTTCCCTCACAGGACGGCGGAAGAGGCGACGCGCGCAGGCCGAGCAGAGGGGCCGCCGCTTCTCGAAGGGGACCCGGCAGTTGCGCGGTAGGTACACATGTGCGCGAGTGCGCGACTCTGCACACCCTGGCGGCAATGAGTTGAGGGCTGATGCTTGGCCCTGAGAGCCTAGTACTCTTCCCCGAGGACATGGATTCGCTTCCTCGGGGCGCTGCCTGGTGTGGAAAGTTCTGGGCCCTTTCAAGGCCGCAGCGGCTGTCCCGTGCCGCTCCTTCCTCCTATGTGGTGGTGGCTGTGCTGGGTGCGAGCAACGCCCCTGCGGGAGAAAACCCGCTCTCTGGAGGCCAGAGGGCGGCACAAAGACTGCTGACGTGGCGATTCCGCTCCGACGGGTGGCCCTGGTCCCCGGGGAGCTGCTCTGGCCGTTTTAGCTCCTTTCTCGGCTTTTAGGCGAAAAGGGAGACAAGCCACAACTGAGAGATGAGCGTACAGCAGCGTAACTGTACACAGGAAACCGGTGCAGATGACCGTGACATTTCACTGAATTTTCGTCTTTCTTCTTTTTGTTTTGTGTTCTGCAACAAAAAATGTTGATGTTTATAATTTAAATGCTAAGCATTCAGCTGGTATTCAGTAACACATGTTATTTAAGGGGCCTACCAACAAGAAAAAAACAACCTTGTTAAACAAACCCATACAGGTTGACGGGTCAACACTGACGATTTTATGAAACAACAAGATTTGCAGCAAATGGAAAGCACAATTATATTCTTACACTTTTTCAATTAAATTTGAAGCACACTTCAGCAAAAGTGTATGTTTCCTCCAGGTGCACGTGTGTTCAGCTTTCCTTTGCCTACCAGTGCTTTAAGTCTGCCAGAAATTCCCCTGAGAGAGGAGATCTTAATGCAGAATATTAACTCCTCTGCCTATTATATCCATAAAGCCAGGCCTACCTCTCTCCCAGGGGCGTCAGAAATTGCTTCTGTGTGCTATTTGGAGAGGCCTTGGCATCCAGAAACAAAGAAAAGTGAAATAAACTAGTACCCCCAAGAGAGAAGATAAGAAAGTCCAAAGACCTAAAGAAGCACTGAGGGGTTTTTTTTGAGACAGAGTCTCACTTTGTTGCCCAGGCTAGAGTGAGTGCCATGGCATCAGCCTAGCTCACAGCAACCTCAAACTCTTGGGCTCAAGCAATCCTGCTGCTTCAGCCTCCCGAGTAGCTGGGACTACAGGCATGCGCCACCATGCCCAGCTAATTTTTTCTATATATATTAGTTGGCCTATTAATTTCTTTCTATTTTTATAGTAGAGACGGGGTCTCGCTCTTGCTCAGGTTGGTTTTGAATTCCTGACCTTCAGCAATCTGCTCGCCTTGGTGTGAGCCTACGCGCCTGACCTAAAGAAGCACTGAGTTTTAAGTCACTGGTTTTAAAAAATAATTCATATGCAGGCTTTGAAGTCACAGCCATTGTGCTGATTTTCACTGGCCACTTGCTAGTTGGGTGTCCTTGAACAAATATCAACCTACTGTGCCTCAATTCCCCCATTTGTAAAATGGGCACAGTAATCCTACTGACTTCATAAGGCAGTATGGTAATTTAATAAAATAATCCATGAAAATGCCTGGCACTTGATAAGAACTCAGTAAAGAGTTAGCTACTTGTCATATTGAATGGCACAAGTTTAGGTAAAAAAAAAAAAAAGAGTTAGCTACTGAATTTTTTTATAGCAATAACAAATTATATAATAAATTATTAGTTTATAATAATTACTATTATATTATTATAAAGTTTCATTCATTCTTTTCTCCTTCCCCAACTTGGGCTTCCACCTTAACAGAAAGCATAGAACAGTGGCACTTCATTACTGTTTGAACTTTAAGTAAGTGGTCCCCAGGTTTATTTGAACATTGGAATCATTGGGGGACCGGTGCCTGGATTTCACTCCAGAGATTCTGATTGTGTTGTTCTGGGATGTGGGTTGGGCTTTGGAAATTTTAAAAGCTTTCCTGGTTATTTTAATGTACAGCTAAGTTTGGAAACCAATGCTTTTTGGTGTTGTCCTAACCAAAAAGGCAAAATAAATGTTCATAGTTTAGATCAAATTAAGGCAATATGTATTTTGAACTAATAATTTGACTCATTTTGCTGTGTTAGCCAGTGAAATCAGCCATACAACCGTTTCAACTATTTTTTTCATTGAATTTATAAGTTGTGACTGATTTGACCAATTCAATAAAAAGTTTGATTCCTTAAAATCATATAGCCATAGGCTCAAGTAAATTGAATTTGTTGGAAACCAGCTGTGATTCTGGCTATTTTGAACTGTTTAGATGACACATTACCATAGAGGTACACATTATTTAATTCCATTCTATACAGTTACTAAGAAACTGGATATTAAATTAAAATGCTGATAGTTTTAGATTGACTTGATCAGTTCATCCAGTAAAAATTTGATTCCTCAAATTCATAGAGTCATAGCCTAAAGGAAATTGAATTTTGGGGGGAACAGCTAGGAGTTTCAGTGTAATTTAGAATATAAATTACTAGAGGAGTACGCATTATTTAATTCCATCATGCACATTTGCTAACAAACTGTATGTTAAATCAAAATGTTGTTATTGGAATGAGATGCATGCTGCCTGTGCCTTTGATATCATTCTGGGGACTTTTGAAGGCACGTAGGTTTCTACCGGATTTGTGCACCACTGTCTATGTATTACCAACCTCTTTAAAAAATTAATGAGCATGTTGGTCCCTGTAGCGCCTCAGGTCATACTGATCCATCAGATGAATCACGTGTGAGGTAGCACTCTCAGGCTCTGTCAACTTCCTGCCAACATTTCCCGTTAGAAGCATGAATTGCTAGATTAGATAAAGGCCCTGACCCTTGTGCCCAGAAGTTCTTCATCTGACCATGGACCTGGGGCAGTGTCCTAGTTGGGGAGAGCAAACCTCTGAGATGTATCCGCAGTCACACAAAACAGAATCCAGGCTGGGCACAGTGGCTCACGCCTGTAATCCTAGCTCTCTGGAAGGCTGAGGCGGGCGGATCGTTTGAGTTCAGGAGTTCGAAACCAACCTGAGCAAGAGCGAGACCCCATCTCTACTACAAATAGAAAGAAATTAATTGGCCAACTAATATAATTGGCCAACTAATATATATAGAAAAAATTAGCTAGGCATGGTGGCGCATGCCTGGAGCCCCAGCTACTCGGGAGCAGGATCGCTTGAGCCCAGGAGTTTGAGGTTGCTGTGAGCTAGGCTGACACCACGGCACTCACTCTAGCCTGGGCAACAAAGTGAGACTCTGTCTTAAAAAAAAAAAAAAAGCAAAACAGAATCCAACAACCAACCACTTGTCTCAGTGAATCATACAACAGTTATTAAGTTGAAAATCAGGCAATTATATGTATATGAGCTACTTCACTGCAGAATAAGCTGTTTATTAGGGTATTAATCTATAATGGGCAAAGAAATAACATCATTAGAAAATGGAAGACATAAGAAAGGAAATTTTTTTTTTTTTTGAGACAGGGTCTCCCTCTGTTGCCCAGGCAGGAGTACAGTCACAGAATCAATTCCTGGGCTCAAGTGATACTCCCACCTCAGCCTCCCAAGTAGCTGGGACTGCAACTACCCACGACCACTCCCAGCTAATTATTTTTTTTAAAGATGGGTTCTTGATATGTTGGACTCAAGCAATCCTCCTGTCTCAGCCTCCCAAAGTGTTGGGATTATAGGCGTGAGCCACTGTACCCAGCCAGAAAGGAATTTAAATTTTTTCCTTCTGATAGTTTTATGAGTAAAAGGAGTTTGGGCTGAAGACTGGGTTTAAAACAGTTAGCTCATGGCAGACAAAAGGATAGAAATGGAACTAGTATTTAGTCAATGCCTATTATGTGCTAGGCTCTTTCTGTACATAATCTCCTTTAATCCCTACAACTCCTCAATATAGACTCAGTCCCAATTCATAGGTAGAATTAACTGAGATTGAGGGAGATCAAGTAACTTGCCCAAGGGTGCACCATGACAAATCCCAAAAGTGGGATTTGAACACAAGTCAGTCTGCCCCAGGCTCCATGATCTATCCACTACATCTCGGGGTGACCAGTCATCCTGGTTTCCCACTGAGGGATTTCCAAAAGGTGGGACTTTCTGTTTTAAAACCATGGCAGTCCCAGGAAACCCAAGAGGAGTTGATCACCCTGCTTGGTAACCAGAGGTTATTGCTGCCTGAGCCAGCTAGATAGATTCCAGGCCATAGGACTGGGAAGGACACGTGGGAGGCCTGGATCTCTCACTTAGTTCAGAAATACTATATCCATTATACCACATTCCCACTGAGAAAGCAAGTTAATGGCACTTCTAGCCAAATTTCGTACTATATCCTTTTCCCTTAAAGGGCCATTTCAATCACGATTTTAGGTTTTCAATTTTGTGAGCTGTGTGGGGTCTCTATCACAACTACTCGACTCTGTCATTGTAGTGGGAAGCAGCTGTTGACAATACAAAAACAAGTGAGTGTGGCTGTACTCCAAGCAGCTTCTAGTTACCAAAACTGGAGGCAGGCTGGATTTGGCCCATGGATAGTTTGCCAAACCCTGATGTAGGTTATTAATAAAGAATTCTTTGCATAGATAATGCATTTTTGAAGAGG